TAGAAATAATATACTAGGTAGACTCTATGTATTTCTATGGGGGAGGGGGAGGGCCATAGAAATAATATACTAGGTAGACTCTATGTATTTCTATGGGCGTAGGGGGAGGGCCATAGTAATAATATACTAGGTAGACTCTATATATTTCTATGGGGGGAGGGGGAGAGCCATAGAAATAATATACTAGGTAGACTCTATTTATTTCTATGGGGGAGGGGGGAGGCCAGAGAAATTATATACTAGGTAGGCTATATATGTTTCTAGGAGGGGGGGCATAGAAATAATATACTAGGTAGACTCTATATATTTCTATGGGGGAGGAGGGAGGGCCATAGAAATAATATACTAGGTAGACTCTATATATTTCTATGGGGGAGGGCGGAAGGCCAGAGAAATAATATACTAGGTAGACTCTATGTATTTCTATGGGGGGAGGGGGAGGGCCATAGAAATAATATACTAGGTAGACTCGATTTATTTCTATGGGAGAGGGGAGGGCCAAAGAAACAATATACTAGGTAGACTCTATGTATTTCTATGGGGGAGGGGAGGGCCATAGAAATAATATACTAGGTAGACTCGATTTATTTCTATGGGAGAGGGGAGGGCCATAGAAATAATATACTAGGTAGACTCGATTTATTTCTATGGGAGAGGGGAGGGCCATAGAAACAATATACTAGGTAGACTCTATATATTTCTATGGGAGAGGGGAGGGCCATAGAAACAATATACTAGGTAGACTCTATGTATTTCTATGGGAGGAGGGGGAAGGCCATAGAAATAATATACTAGGTAGACTCTATTTATTTCTAGGGGGGGAGGACGGAGAGCCATAGAAATAATATACTAGGTAGACTCTATTTATTTTTATGGGGGAGGGGGAGGGCCATCGAAATAATATACTAGGTAGACTCTATATATTTCTATTGGGGGGAGGGGGAGGGCCATATAAATAATATACTAGGTAGAGTCTATTTATTTTTTATAGGGGAGGGGGAGGGCCATAGAAATAATATACTAGGTAGACTCTATTTATTTCTATGGGAGAGGGGAGGTCCATAGAAACAATATACTAGGTAGACTCTATGTATTTCTGTGGGAGGGGGAGGGCCATAGAAATAATATACTAGGTAGACTCTATATTATTTCTCTATGGGGGGGGGGAGGGCCATAGAAATAATATACTAGGTAGACTCTATATTAGTTCTCTATGGGGGAGGGCGGAGGGCTAGCTCGCAGCGTGTGTGTGTGTGTTTACGTCGTCACCTCGACCCGTTCACATAATCTTTTCCTCGCCCGGGGGGGGGGGGAATTGAAGTCGCTTGCGGGAGAACACCAGACATGCGAGAGTGCAAGTATCGATTCAGCTTGCACGCACGCCTGCGGCTTACGTTGATACAGGCGCGCTCTAACGTACAGACATCAGCGCAAGTCTACGTGGATTGACACACGACCCACTCCCCCACACCACACCCACACAGGCTGCCCCCCCCCATCACCTGGAGGCTAGCACTCACAAATGTGTTTACGTGCCGCTGTTCGGGATAAGTTCTGACCTACGCGAAAACATTTACGTTGATAAATATGTGAATATATAGAGTGAGAGATATATCGATTTTTCTCGTCTATTTCGATTTGGTTTATATATATATATATATATATATATTCCCGAAGTTTACGCGAAGCCCATCCACTTACGCTGTCTGTGTTATTGATAGCATTGGCGTTGTTTTTGGTGTTGTTGTTGTTGTTTTTGTTGTTGTTGTTGTTGTTGTTGTTTGTGACAAAAGCATGAAAATTGGCACACAGGTAGTTTAAGATGATTTGTATATATGAGATGTTGTTGTTGTTGGTGGTGTTGTTGGTGGTGGTGTTGTTGTTGTTGTTGTTGGTGTTGTTGTTGTTGTTGGGGGTGTTGTTGTTGTTGTTGTTGTTGTTGTTGTTGTTGTTGTTGTTGTTGGGGGTGTTGTTGTTGTTGGGGGTGTTGTTGTTGTTGTTGTTGTTGTTGTTGGGGGTGTTGTTGTTGTTGTGGTTGTTGTTGCTGCTGTTGATGGTGGTGGTGGCGGTGGCGGCGGCGGTGGTGGTGGCGGTGGTGGCGGCGGCGGCGGTGGTGGTGGCGGTGGCGGTGGCGGTGGAGGTGNTGGTGGTGGTGGTGGTGGGGGTGGTGGTGGTGGTGGTGGCGGTGGCGGCGGACGGTGGTGGTGGCGGTGGCGGCGGTGGCGGTGGCGGTGGCGGTGGCGGTGGCGGTGGCGGTGGAGGTGCTGCTGCTGCTGCTGCTGCTGCTGCTGCTTCCCCTACTGCTGCTGCTGCTTCTCCTGATGCTGCTCTTGCTGCTGCTACTGCTGCTATTGCTGCTGCTCTTGCTGCTGCTGCTGTATTGTAGTGGGTGAGGCCAGCCACACGAGCAGTAAGCAGTAATAGGTGAAACCCGCCATTAGACTCAGCATAACCTCATGCGATATTCGACACGCGCTGTCACATTAAAAACTCACACAGAACGTGACGCACGCACAGCACAGACCGAATGAATTCAATGAATGCAGTAAATTTAAACGAATGACTAGCGGAACGTACACGGCGGGAATCGAAGCTTCGATAGAAGTTTTACGAAACTGAACGTGCTGTTATTTGGCTTCCTATTATATGAGGGGAATCTAGATATAATCAGGAGAGAATAGTAATAGATTATTATTATACATATATATATATATATATATATATTATTTTATCGTGATATAATGTTGTTCATCTTCATTAAACAAGGAAGCTAGAGAACTGGCTGTAACATTGTTCTCTACAATCATGATAATATACGGAGATGAAGGAATTCACTGTATCATTGCGTCTTGCCGGGAAACGAAGAGGCAGGGGGACTACTGTATAGTTGTTTACTTATATCACATAAGGAGGCGGGGNTGTGTGTGTGTGTGTGTGTGTGTGTGTGTGTGTGTGTGTGTGTGTGTGTGTGTGTGTGCGCGTTCGTGCGTGTGGATGCGCGCGCGCGTGTGTGTGCGTGTGCGTATGTGTGTGTGCGTCCGTGTATGTGTGTTCGTGCATACGTGCGTGTGTGTGCGTGCGCGTATGTGTGTGTGCGTTCGTGTATGTGTGTTCGTGCATACGTGCGTGTGTGTGCGTGCGCGTCCGTCAATGCATATGTGCACAATATCATCCTTACAACCTCGCGTCTGCTTCGCAACAGATGCGCCACCTGTTGTTGAGGGTACGGCGGCAGCCGACACCATACTAGAAGAAGCAGCCAACTCCGATGATCAGGAAGAGGAAGAGGAAGAGGAACAGGAACAGGAACAGGAAGCCAACGATATTGCGGGAATCGTCGAGACCGAGGAGCTCGATATCCCGGAAGAGGAACAGGAAACAGATGGTACGTGTTCATTTCCGTAGCTACAGAAAAAGTAAACAATACATTTAATAATAAAAATTTAAAAATACATAAATATATAAATTCATAAATGTATATATATATAATAATATACACACACACACACACACACACACACANAGATAAAGAGAGAGAGCGAGAGAGAGAGCGAAAAGGAGCGAAAGAGAGAGAAAGAGAAAGAGAGAGAGAGAGAGAGAGACCGAGAGAACGAGAGGAAGAGAGATAGAGAAAAGAGTTGAAGAGCGAGGGAGGTAGAGAGATTCAGGAAAAAAGAAGACAAAAGAAGGCGAGGCAGAGAATATATTATAGCAGAGGAAAGAGCATCGCGAAAGACCGAGAGAGAAAAGGAAGTGAAACACACTGAGAGAGTGAGAGAGAGAGAGAGAGAGATAAAGCGCCCGCGAGAGAAAAAAAATAGCGTGCGTGAGAGAGAGAAAGAGAGACCAGGAGAGAGAGGGGGAGAGAAAGAGAAAAGGAGAACGAGAGAGAGAGAGAGAGAGAGAGAGAGAGAGAGTGAGAGAAAGAGAGAGAAGGCGAGAAAGAGAACGAAAGAGA